AGTTGGCTAAATTTGTATAAAAGTTTAATACTTAGTCAGTGCCAGATCTTGGACTGAAAAAAACTTGCAAAAWAAAATGTAGGGAACCTATAAAAAAGCCAAAATATCAATGATATTATTTAAGTAATAATATCGGCGGTTAATCTGGCACTGTAGGTAAACAGTATACACTTATACCATACATTAATTATAATCAATGTTGTTGAATGTTGATATATATTATAGAAATTAAATACAAATATTTGATAATATCAATACTCATTAATCCGAAAGTGAATCTAGTTTTACTTTAATTGTGTCTAATGTATCATAGAGTTTTTTCAACTCTTCTTCATTTAAATCTAAAATGACTTCTTTRATTTTAGRTTCATTGTGATATTGGTTGTCTTCAATTTTTAACTCTATTAAACATCTAGGTTCTGGATCAGATAATTCAATTCCAATATTTGATGAAATATTTAAAGCCCAATTAACATCCTTTAACTTTATAAAATAAATTGTTAATTTGTAATGCATTGATGAAATATTATACAATTTGAATTACCTTGTATGAATGAATAAAGTTTTGCTGAAGCCTWAATACAACTTGTTCAGCATTTGTAGACCAACATTCACAAAATAATTCAACTTTTTTTTCATTTAACAAAAGTAGTGAAGACAACACATTTTTTAGTACTGAAGGTTTTGTCACATCACTGATAACCTGAATAAACAAATTATTAAAAATATGAGTTAAAAAATTAATTTTGATTTTCAAACAATATTATACTAATATCATATTAACTTCTTTCAATAATTTGCTTAAACAAGTCAGTATACACTGACATTGGTCATTGTTCAGTTTCAATGACTTTTTAATGGATAATAGTTCTTGGTCTGAAAACGAAGACAATCGATTGGGTTCAAAATCTTGTATCATCCTGTTGACCAAACGAACAAACTTCTTGTCATCAACATTATTCAACATCTCTAATCCCGAAACGAAACTAAAAGTGAAACAAACTTATTTTTTATTATTACTAAATATACTCCAGCAATAGATAAATCATTATAAGCTAAATGGTGTGCAMTTACAATGGATCTTTAGCCAGATTTTCAAAAGACATGATTGATGATTTAATATTTCAATAATTACTGAAAAATAAGTGGAAAAAGGGGGATAGAAATAAATTATAAATATGGTACCAACGACCTTTCTCACTATTACCTATACTGTTAACAGTATAACTGAGCCACGACTTAATAATAATTATTAATAAATTAAATTATTGTTTTCAATTATTCACTAATTCCGCACCGAAATGCACCAAATTGCAAAAGTTGATTACTGATTCGATAATATTTTGAATTTCCGATGTACCGCACACAGACACTGCCCTTCAGCGTCACAGAATTTTGTGACAGATAGTTCAAACTNATTCGATAATATTTTGAATTTCCGATGTACCGCACACAGACACTGCCCTTCAGCGTCACAGAATTTTGTGACAGATAGTTCAAACTTTAAAACTTTAAAAATTAAAAGTTAAAAGTTCCGTGGTCGTTATCGTTCACCGATAACGATAAGTGATAAATGATAACAGTCGTTCATGGATTGGATTATCTAAACATTTTTTTAAGTCGATAGTCAGCTGATTGTTTTGTGAAACCTTGGCACGTTGGCTACACCCATTTATTTYGCCAATACCCATTCCCCATATTATGTACAGTATTAACTATTAAGTATTATACATTTATACAATGTACTGTCCTACTGACTACAGATAAGTAAGTTCTAGGCGACAGGCGCTAACGTTCCCATATCATCAGCTCATCTTTGTTGAGTGCTGATCGTTCCCGTTAATACAYAATACAAAAATTGGTTTTAAATAAAAATTATTTTTAATCAGTCATCGTGATGGCAAGCCAAACTCAAGGAATTCAACAATTGTTGGCTGCTGAAAAAAGGGCTGCAGAAAAAGTAGCTGAAGCCAAAAAACGTAAGTACCTAGTCGAAAATTTAAGGTGTGGCTGATACCATTTGATATTAGATATTAAACATTAAGTAGTCTGCAATTAAAAAAAAAAATACCATTCATTACCTTCTACGTCAAAGTTTGGTTACAATTTTCCTGTAATTTTACGTTTTCACAATCTAGTTTTTCAGTATGCTAATATATATTTTGATTAAACGTTCAGTGGACCTATCAAAAGCCACACCTTGTACTTTTTAAAAATATTAGTGTTTTGTATACAAATATCTTGAATATAATACTATTTTTTTAAAATCTATATCATTCCAAGTTATTAAACAAAATAGTTAATTTATGAAGTATAAATTTACCTTAAAATCAATGTTACTAGTTACTTMATTTAGCTTAGTAGGCGTGGTTTTTACTAGGGTTTTCATTATTGCTTAATTAATAATGATAATTAATCAGTGTTTATTTGAGATTCTGATGTAGTGTTCCACAATAACAATCACTAAGTATTTTTGAATCAATTACGAGTTAACTCCATTAATAAACTTGATTCATTGGTTCTTAATTGTCCTTTAAACTTAAGTGAACCGCTTACTCTGCCCTATGAAAGAAAGATACTGTTTCTGCTGGTTGAGCTTTATACTGTTTCC